CCAGAAGCTGAGAATCCTGGTGCTTGGCACGAGCAGGTGTGAGGACGAGCACACCGTCAACACTCAAGAAGCTGTTCTTATCTGATCCAAATGAAAGCTCAAACATTTATTTAGCTTTGAGTGGGTCCCTGGTCCTGGTCCCGAATACACGACATTACCATGTTTTCATGTGAGTGACTGTCTCAGACCAATTGTTAAACGTGCCAGGGGCCAGGCCTGGAGCACAGCAACTGGCCAAAACCTGGGGCGTCTGAGCAAGCCCATCAGAGGACGAAGGGGAAAGATGACAAAGCCCATGTGTCCAGAACGTTTTGTCAGTCGACCACCTGACACTGGTTTTAAGTTACTTTCACACTGCAATTACGTGGTGTCATAAATGATTCTGTGAGTCCTTGTCCTCAACTTGTGTTTGTTTCCTTTCTGGAAAGAGGAACTTCTGTCAGCACCTGGCTGTGATGGTAAGCACCCTGGGAGACCGGGAGAACCTGGGAGTGAATGAGGGAGCCTCCTGCAGCGAGGGCCTAGGAGGCAGCTACAGTTGTAAGGACCAGCTCCTGCATTTCACCCAGACCAGCTGGGCTAGAGCCCCTGGGCTTGTCCTGGCTGGCCCACCCTCCCCAGAGCCATGCCTGACAAAGCATCCACTATGCCCTCGAGGTCTGCAGCTGGTGGATAGCACTGCTGTAGGTTTGCTCTTGGTTTTGTGTGCAGCTGTGACTACACCATGAATCCGTGGGTCCCTGGGTCCCAACCTCCCTGACGGTGCTAGGTCCCTCATATATGGACCTCTGCCTGTATTTCTTTGTTCAGTTGGCACTTCAATTTCCCAGAGAGGCAGACTGTGTCTCAAACCTCACTTCATTTGCCTGTTGCTCCTGAAATCCTAAACAGACCTAGCTAGTGGAGAGGGGCTTGGCAGTTATAGTGAAGGTGTCAATGCAAACAGCCAGATCCTTTTCCTGTTAGAGCTGGGCCCGACTGACACCCACCCCTATCCTGGAGAGCGCTGTCAGCAGTTCACTATTCTGTGTAGAGAGAAAGAAAACAAAGGATTCTTCTCCAGACTTTTTGCATTTTGGCTTCCATCAAGCCTTTCTTTAATAAAGTTTTATTGTATAGTTTCATATTGCAATTGGTGAACTTTTCCTGGAGTCCTGGTGTTAGCACATAAGGAGTTACAGATCTGATGTAATAAAATACAAAGAAACTTCATCATTTGGACTCTGATTTTAGATGGATTGTGCTGATATTGCCTCAATATTATCTGGAAAGGAAGAATTTGCAAAGAAAATTTATAGTATGGGGAGGGGAGGGCTGTTTGCAGGAATCTAGTTACCTTCAATATAAGCTACTCATAACCTATTGCAAATCATTTATATATTCATCAAAATATGCCTTCTACCCCCAGGTCCTGGGCAACACATGGGGTGGGGTGTGTGTGGGGGGTACTAGAGTAAATGACCACTGCAGTCCCAAGTTTAGACTTTTAAAGTAACTTGGAACTATCAGCTACCAGTAGTTGGAGATACTGAAGCTTGAAGATGGGAGCCACACTGAAGGTAGTGATTTGTTTAATTGAGTCTAAGGTGCCATCAATTATAAGATGCATCATATTTTTGAAAGGAAAAAAAAACTCAGCTAACTAAACTATGACACCAACTATAAAATGCATTCTGATTTTTAAAATGTTAAAATGTGGGGGGAAATATCTATCTTAGAATTAATGAAATACAGTATTACCTATATCACATTGCCCCTACCTCCCTGATAGGAAGATGCATGTCTATTCAGTGACCTGTTAGATTTTCCTACGGGGACATCAACCCTTCTCCCAACTCACTAAGTGGTTATAACCTTTAGGTCTGATCTTACTTGGCAGTCGAATATATCTGTATTTCAAGTTCCCGTTAGGTTCTATGATCCTGATTTCTCTCCCAAACAATACTCAGTGAAAACTCTATTAAGAAACACTGTTTTCAGGACTGTCTGCAGGTCATGCAGTCCATCCATTTTTATCTCTCTGTTTACCCTGGGATTGAGCCACATCAGCAGAGAGCAAAGTACTAGGAACAACTAGGTAATCGCTCATGGACACTGCTAGAAACAACCTGAGTTGCACTGAATCTGCTGTCAAGGACACAGTGTCCTATTCATGAGGACCCATTGGAAACATTTTTCAGGTCTTCATACCAGAAATTAAAAACAAAAAACTTTATAGAAAAGGACACCTTTCATAAGCATACAATGGAATGAATGATCACAAATTATAACTACTGCTCAAATAAAAAAACAGAACATTACCAGGATCTTAGAAGCCCCCTCATGACTCCTCCCTGTCACTACACCCACCCTCTTCCCCAAAGACAACCTCTGTCCTGATTTCTAACACCATAGTCTTGTCTGTTTTTGAACCTTACATAAATGGTATCATACAATATGTACTCTCTTGGTCTGGCTTCTTTTGTTTACCATTATGTCTGTGGTATTCATCCATGTTGTTATGGTCCTTGTATGTATATACCACAATTTATTCATGTGTATACACTTTCTGGTGTATGGGATGACACTCCAACTGTGAGCCACGCTGACTAGGGCATGGCTTCCATTTTTACTCTCTCAATAGTGACTCTTGATAAACAGAAATGCTTAATTTTAATGTAGTCAAACTTACTACAGCTTTTTGTATTCTTTTTAAGAATATATTCTTTTATTTTTTTATTCTTGAGGATTTATTGTTTGCTTTCATGTTAAAATCAATAGTTCACCTGGAATTGATATTGTGCATGGTGTGAGGTAAGGATTTTTTCTCATACTGACATGCAATTGACCTGGCACCATTTCTTGAAAAGACCATCCTTTCCCCATTGCTTTGCAATGACATCTTAGTTATAAATCCAGTGTCCATATATCAGAAGGTCTGTTTCTGGACTCCCTAGTCTGTTCTATTGGTCTACTTGACTATACCTGTGCCAATACTACATTGACTTATTTACTGTAGCTTTATATCAAGACTTGATATCTGGTGGAATAAGTCCTACAACTTTGTTCCTACAACTTTGTTCTACAAGGTTGTCTTAGCTTTCTTGGCCCTTTGAATGGCCATAAAATACCTTAGAACCAATTTGTTAATTATCATTTTTAAAATTTCTTGGGATTAGCTTGAATCTATACTCGGCTTGATCAATTTGGGGAGAACTGACTTTACGACATCAAGCCTTCCATTCCATAAACATGACATCTCTCTGCTTATTTAGATCTTATTTAACTTCTCTCACTGCTTTATAGTTATTTTTCTCATGTAGGTCTTGCATATTGTTCATTTTCCTCTAAATATTAGAATGTTTTGATGCTATAGTAAATACGATAAGGGTTGTTTCTGGACTCTCTAGTCTGTTACATTGGTTTCTTTGACTATTCCTGTGCTAATACTACATTGCCTTAATGAATGTAGCTTTTTAAAAAGTATTATTTTTCTTTATTGATTTAAGAGAGAGAGGAAGGGAGAGAGACAGAAACATTGATGAGAGAGAACATCGACTGGCCGCCTCCTGCATGCCCCCTACTGGGGATCTGGCCCACAACCTGGGCATGTGCCCTGACCGGGAATCGAACTGGCAACCTCTTGGTGCATGGGTCAATGCTCAACCATTGAGCCACACTGGCTGGGCCTCATTGTAGTTTTAATTTGCCTCTCCCTGATTAGCAATGTTGAGCATTTTTTCATGTCTATTGGTCATCTGCATGTCCTCTTTGGAGAAGGGTCTGCTCAGGTCCTTTGTCCATTTTTTAAATAGGATTGTTTGTCTTCTTGGTGTTGAGTTGTTTAAGTTCTTTAAATATTTTTTAAATTAATCCCTTATCAGATGTTTCATTGGTGAATATGTTCTCCAACACAGTGGGTTCCCTTTCCATTTTGATGCTGGCTACTTTTGCTGTGCAGAAGTTTTTTTAGTTTGATGCAGTCCCATTTGTTTTGCTTTTCTTTTTTTTCTCTAGCCCTAGGAGATGTAGCAGCAAAAATTCTGCTACATGAAATGTCTGAGATTTTACGGCCTATGTTTTTTTCTAGCATTTGTATGGTTTCACGACATACATTTTGAGTTTATTCTTATGTATGGTGTAAGTTAGAGACTCCCAGATGGACAGAACCCCACTCATTCCCACCAGCTGACCCTACACAGGCTCCCCTTCCCTTCTCTGTTGCTCTGGATTGGGGATCCCCATGTGGGGTCTCCCACGGGGACATGGGCTCCCCTGCTGGGCAGGTACATGAGTTGGCTCACCCTCTCCCTGTCTCCTCCTGTCCTTTCTCCCAGTTCCTTGCCTACAATACTTCAGATCAGCTATACTGCAGCTGGTTTTTCAAGCAGAATGCTCTGCAGTTTAGCTGCAAGTCTCATCTGGTATTGGGAGCAAGCGGATGGGCTGCACTATATATTTTTGTAATTCAAATCTTCCTTCTTGGAAAAGAGCAGATATGGATCAGCCCTCTGTCTGTGTGAACCTGTGTCACCCATAAGGAGTGGGCCCACTGACAAATTTGAACTACTGCCATTTTTGTTGGCTTCACAAGTTTGATACAGTATAAATGTAAAATAGAAACATTTAATTCATTTCTGGTTTCACTTTGGTAATGAAAAGACTACTGAGAACATTAAAAGTTGAAGCAACACGTTCTTTGAAATAAAAAAAATATATATATATATATAACATGCTCTACAGTATTTTGTGATTATTGACTTTATTAATATAGAACAATTAATCTTAGATATAAAATTTATAAGTAACTATGTGATTATTACAAGTTAAAATTTATTTTGTTCCCCATGTTGCCATTTAATTGGAAAAATAAATCAACAATAAAACCTTGCCACCTTAGAATCAATTTGAAGTAGGTTGTTCAGGAATAAAAATATAGAAGAAAGTATACACTGGAATGGATTAAATTTTAGTCAAACAAAAAGGTTTGATCCATTCTGGCTTGTAAAGCAAAATAATAATGTTTATGATTTTTGAAAATTCACTGAAACTTTTTCTTTAAGCTGGTTTCTTTATGATACATTTTCTTGAGTTCTACCCATGACTGCCACAGTAACAGTCCTGGGATCAGAACCCACACACTATTGAAAAATACCAGATAGAGCCAAAAGTAGAGCCAATTGTTGGTGTTGAGGTTGGGGCTTCCCATAAGCCAGTCCGGGGCGAAGGTCATCCACCCGCCATACAATTCACACACGCACAGAGTAATCTGTATGAAATGCCTGTTAAAGAGAGAAAAGAGTGAGAACCTCTTTTCTGTTATCCAGTCTTCTAGGAGAGAGCACTTCTCTGCAGTTGGATCAGTTTCCCAGTGGTGCTGCTTTGATAGTGGGAGTCAATCTGATTAATGAAGGCCCAGGTTTTCATTACTTCTAGAGAAGCAACACTGTCTTCTCTAGAAGATTATTCTCAGAGTTAAATAAGGTCTCTTGGGTATCCTGTCCTCTTAGGAAAATTTAGTGAGACCTGGATGTGAATCTCAATACGAGTTGCAATTTCACCTGTTGTAAAAGGGATAATAATAATAGTTCCTTCCTCAAACAATCTTGAGGAGATTAAATGAGATTTGTAGATAAAGGGCTGAGTACTGTGCCTGGCACACAGTAAGTACTCAACAGTGCAGATATTATAAATGTTTGAAATAATAAACAAATGGGTGCATGTAGTAAGTCTACAACCAAGATAATGGAGTCAAAGATATGTCAAGGTACCAAGAAGAAATTTAATTTTTACTGCTGACAATCTATGTAAAATTGGGTGGGGGTAAAGTGGATTAAATGACCCTTGAGGTCTCTTTCAAATCTGAAATTTTATAATGATGCTTTAAATAAATAAGACTTATTTGATGCAAAAATGGTAGAAAACTGAACACAACTGTACCTACCTGACATTGTTTTAGGGAATCACTCCCAGGCTAGCAATCTATTTGCCCCAGGTTGCTTTGTCCTTAAGGAGAGGAAGGAAAAGGAAGGGAGGGAGGGAGATTCAAAGTCTCAGAGTCTGAGCCCAGCTGCTGTGGCTCAGTGGATTAAGTGTCATTCCAGGGACTGAGAGATCCCAGTTCGATTCCCAGTCGGGGCACATGCCCGGATTGTGGGCTCAATTCCCAATAGAGGGCGTGCAGGCAGCCGATTGATGTTTTTCTCTCTCTCTCTTTTCCTCTCTCTCTAAAAAATCAGATTATTTTTTAAAAAATCTCAGAGTCTGACTGATGGACTGTGAATCATGCACCTTTCTCCTTCCTCTCCCTCTGCTTCTGTCTTCCTCATATCCTTCATAACCTGAAAAGATTTCTTTCTTTTTTTAAATCCTCACCTGAAGATATTTTTCCATTTATCTTCAGATAGAGTGGGAGGGAGGGAGAGAGAAAGAGAGAGCAAGACATCAATGTGAGAGAGACACATTGACTGTTGCCTCCCACACAATCCTGACTAGGGCTGGGGACGAACTGCAACCGAGGTACATGCCCTTGACCAGAACCAATCTGTGACTCTTGGGTTGGAGGGCCGATGCTCCAACCACTGAACCAAACCGGCCAGGGAAAAAAAGATTTCTTATTTACTTGGCATGACTAACTCAAAATTGCATAAGATAATTTACTTTGTATCAAATGAAATAGGATTTTTCTAAAGTGTTTTCGGAAAAATAAGGATGGAAATATCACCCTTTTATTCTCCAAAATACTGGTGGCGAATCATTCAGTGCTGTTGACACCATGCTCCTATGGCCTATTCGGTGACTGGGTTGTTACTACAATCATATTTCTCATAGTTTTTATTTTGAACATTCTGAAATGATCCTACTGGCACCATGATCTTTATCTAATATCAAGCAATTTTCGTCTAACAAAGAATTGTGGTCATAAGCTACTCTGGATGTCACTTAGGCATTGGGACAGCTAATGTTTCTCCTCTTTCCAGCAGGGCAGGAGCAGAGCACTTACCGATAATATTTCTCTTTGACTATGGCGTAAATGAGGACCAGTGCCAGAGACCCGTCCAGGACAACAGTCAGAATTTCCAAAGACACAATGTTTGGGTCAAAATTAAGCCATCTTGCATCAGCTTTGCCATATTCTTTCCCTAAAAATAAAACAATTTTGTTACCTATTTTTATATTTATTTATTTTTTTAAACTTATCTTTATTGTTGAATGTATTACAGATGTCTCCACTTTGTTTCCCCATTGACCCCCTCCTCCCCAATCCTGCCCCCTTCCTGCCATCCCCACACTATTGTCTGTGTCCATTGGTTATGCATATATGCATAGAAGTTCTTTAGTTTATCTCATCCCGCCCTCCTTCCCCCTTCCCTTTAAGGTTCATCAGTCTAACAACCAATTTGTACTTCTTAATTCCTTCATCTTTTTCACCCATCCTCCCAGGCCCCTCCCATCTGGCAAGCAACAAAAAGTTCTCTGTATTTATGAGTCTGTTTCTGTTCTGCTTGCTTGTAGATTCAATTGTTGATAGATATATATTTATTGCCATTTTGTTGTTTATATTTTTTATCTTCTCCTTCAAGAATCTTTCAACATTTTATATAATACTGGTTTGGTGGTGATGAACTCCTTTAGCTTTTTCTATGTCCATCGATTCTAAATGATAGCTTTGCAGGATAGAGGAATCTTGGTTGTAAGTCATTGTTTTTCATCACCTTGAGTATCTCCTGCCACTCCTTTCTGGCCTGCAAAAGTTTCTTTTGAGAAATCAACTGACAGTCTTATGGGAGCTCCTTTGTAGGTAATAAATTGTTTTTCTCTTGCTGCTTTTAAGATTCTCTCTTTGAAGATCTCTTATCCTTTGAGACAACATGCAGGGACCTGGAGAGCATTATGTTAAGCAAAATAAACCAATCAGAGAAAGACAAATACTACATGATCTCACTTATTTGTGGAATATAATGAACAAAATAAGAGGATGAACAAAATAGACCCAGAGACATAGAAAGGAGTACAGTTCAGACTGACAGACCTCAGAGGAGCGTGGCGGGAGAGATAAATGAGATAAACCAAAGAACTTATATGCATGTATGTGTAACTAACGGACATAGACAACCATGCTGGGGGTTGGGAGGGAGAAATATCTGAAACAAAAATAAATTAATAAAAATTGAAAAAATAAAATATACTGTATTTGCAATTTTAAAAAAAGATTCTTTCTTTGACTTTAACCTTGAGCATTTTGATGATGATGTGTCTTGGTGTGGACCTCTTTGGGTTCATCTTGTTTGGGACTCTCTGTGCTTCCTGGACTTGTATGTCTGTTTCCTTCACCAAGTTAGGGACATTTTCTGTCATTATTGTTTCAAATATGTTTTCAATTTCTTGCTCTTTCTCTTCTCCTTCTGGCACCCCTATGATACAAAAGTTGGTACAGTTAAAGTTGTCCCAGAGGCTCATTACACTATCCTCATTTGTTTGCATACTTTTTTCTTTTTGCTGTTCTAATTGGGTATTTTCTGCTTTCTTATATTCCAAATTGATGGTTTGCTTCTTGGCTTTACCTAGTCTACTATTGATTCCCTGTAAATTATTCTTTATTTCAGTTAGTGCATCTTTCATTTCTGACTAGTCTTTTTTTATGTTGCTGATATTCTCATTAAATTTCTTGGAGGTCTTTTTAAGTTCCTTGAAGGTCTCACTAAGTTCTTTGAATATATCACCAAGTTCCTTGACAAACATTATAACCAGTGTTTTGAACTCTGCATCTGATTGATTGCTTATCTCCATTTTGTTTAGTTGTTTTCCTGGAGTTTTTCTCTTTCCTTTCTTTTGGGACATGTTTCTTTGTCTCCTCATTTTGGCTGCTTCCCTGTGTTTGTTTCTATGTATTAAGTAGAGTTGCTATGTCTCTTAGGCTTCCTTGGGTGGCCTATTGTTGTAGGTGTTCTGTAGGCACAGCCTCCCTGATCACCCCAGTTGGGTCCTCACGGTGCACCCCTAGTGTGGACTCTATACCCTTCTGTTGTAATTGAGTTTTGATTGCTGTTGGCACGTCAGTGGGAGGGATTTACTCAGTCTGATCAGCTGCAAGGACTGGCTGTGCCCACTGGCCACTACCTTGGAGGATCAGCGATGTAGGGGCCCACCACACAGAGCAAGACTTACTTCAGCAGGGCTCTGTTACCCACTGGGTCCACCCATTGAACGTGTCACTTATGGAAGTGGTTGGGTGGTGGCCCTTCTATGTGGTCTGAAACTGTCCACTGGGTGTGCTGGCTCTGGGGAAAGTTCAGTCACTGCCTGTGTTCTACCTGGAGCCACCCAGCATAAGCTACCAAGTGATCTGCCAGTGGCTGCTTCTTGTGCTGGGCTTGGAGGTGCCAGTCTTGATGTGGCTTCTTCTTTAATTTTGTAGTTGTAGGACTTCCATTCAGCTTGATTTCAGGCTGTTCTGAATGATGGTTCTGTAGTTCAGTTGTAAATTTAATGTGGTTGTGGGAGGAGGCGAGTACCGCGTTTACCTAAACCACTATCTTGACTGGAAGTCCTATTTTTATGATAGTCAATGTGAAGACTTTTTTTTCCCCCCCTAAAGAAAGAGATAAAAGGAGTGGCTTCCATTTTCTCTACATTGTTCATGATGCCTAGTGGAAGGCAAGAGAAGCCCTGAGATGAACGTGCATTTGCAATCTGACACAAATCATAATGACCATATCATGTGATATTAGAAAAATAACTTACAGTTTCTAAAGTGCTTTCACATATGTGCCCTCTATACACCCCCTTTTCATTATAAGTAGCAAAATTCTAAATTAATACAAAATAGTTTGAAAAGACAACATTTAATAATTATCTTGGTAAACACATATAATTCCTTACTTCAAAATTTCAATATAAAGTCTATAAGTATAATTTAGACCTGGGAAAATTATTAAGGACATTTTTATAAAAACACACGTTTATTAATAATTGAAGACAAGTTAAGTGCTGAGGAGGCAGAAGGAAAGGGAAGGGAATTATAGAGCATGGACTACAGAATGAATCCAAAATGGATAAAATGGGCATTTCAGTCTGCTACAGGGACAGAGTTCTCTAACCACCACCACCAAAACCTCAGCTGTGCTGATGGGAGAGTGGGTGTGCCCAAAGAAATCTTTGCAAACCCCATTATCAGGATGGTTCTTCAGAAAGCACCATGAGATATGAAAGCCTTCAGAGCTGGACTGAGAGGCATGTACTGGTGCAGCCATGTCTCCTCCCTCCCTCCTTCCTACCCCTCCTCCCTCCCTGCCTCCCTCATATCCCTCTTCCTTCCCTTTCTTTTCCTTCCTTTTCTCCTCTTCTCCTTCTCCTTCTCCTTCTTCTCTCTCTCTCTGTAATACATTCTGGTCTTAAGATCACAAATATCAGAGGAAAAAAACAAAAGGCCCCCCCTCTTCTTTCCCTTTAAATACTGTTCTCACATTATTTAGAATAGGTATGAATGGTCAAAAATTAGCGACATATTTTGATTAGACTGAGCAGCACAAAGCTCTAGTCTCTAACTGGCCCAATTTGGATCCTCCAGGGACCAGGGACAAAGGGTTCTAATGAAAGGCTATTCTGAGAGACGGGATGGCCAGTAAATAGGATTTGCTGTTTTATGAGCTAATACACAGACACACACTGAGAGGAAATTCTGGGAAAGGCCAGATATAACCAGCAGGCCAGGCAGAGCCCTCAAGCTTGTCTTTAGCCAACTTCCAGCCATGAAAACAACATAATAGTGAAAGTAAAAGTTTTTCCTCTAAATTTAAATATACATACAATAGGCAAAATGTACCCTCTAGTGCATCCAAAGTCTAATAAAATATCACAAGTAAAATGTCAATGCTTTAGAAACTAAGAGATCAGTGGGTGTTTAGACATTCAAAAATATAACCATTCATTCATTCTTTAATTCAACACATCTTTTGGAGCATATTGAAGGCTCTGTGCCAACAATGCCTAGGACACAAAGTCTCCTGCAAATGTAATGAGTGATGGGGACAGAGTACCGGGACATGGAGGAAGTGGCAGCTAAGCCAGACAAGGGGGGTGGGTATTTGATCACTTCCTTTGAGCTTGTTGGTGAGGGAAGGCTTCCACCCTAGGGTCATGGGGATGACACTGTACACTGCACTGGGCAGATAAGATTGATGGCAGTTTCATAGCCACACACACTCACAGCCTAGGGGAGGAGGGCACCGCACCATGCAGGGCCTTGTGAGGGGTTGCACTTGGAAATGGAGTGAACAAGGAAGGGCTGTGAGAGGCAGGCTCTGTAGTAACAAGAGGATAGGGTGACCTCTGGTTCCTGTGTCAGGACAGCAGGAGGTGATGGGCTTATCTGAATAACCCTGAGGGCTGGCAGAGAACTGAAGCCCACTACTCAGGGATGTGTAGACCCTGTGCCCGGTCTCTACCACAAAGAGGGTTGTTTGGCTGAGGGACCTTGCATGAGAAAGAAGGGACTTGCAGTTAGGCCATTTGAGGCCCTCTGATTTTACCAGATGTCAAGGCACACATAATATTGGATCCTAATTTCAGGCCTTATACCACAAAGGAGTGAGCCCTGAACTGGGTGAAGGAGAAGGGTATTTCAGGGGGAGCACGTACAAAGGCCTGGAGCTGAGAGAACACATGTCTGAACCTATATTTAATTCAGCAAAACTAAAGAAGACAGTGGAGTGGCAAGGTAATGCTGGAGAGGCAGGAGGGGTGGGGTGGTAGACAGTAAAATCAGGCCCTGCTACCTATCAGTCCAGAGTATCAAGCCCCTGGTACCTCTTCATCTATTGCTTAACCTTGACCATTTCTTTGCTGGTTAGATAGAGCATTAATAGGCCTAATGCTGTGATAATTATCATTTATTTTGTGACTGACTGCCAGGTGTAGGCAGAGGTTTAGAGGGAAGAAAGAACATTAAATGCTGGAGTAGGTCTCCAAGACCCAAGCCACAGCTGTACCCTTCACCACAGAGCAGAGATTAAGAGGTAATAGGGGGCAACCAAGACTTTCTGACTCCCCCTCTTCTCAACAGAGCCTTGACCTTGGCCTTCGCCCAGTTTTAGTAAGACCTGTTGAGTCAGTTTAGTAAAAGTCCCTCATTCTTTCCCAGTTTTATTGAGATGATAATTGACACACAGCACAGATAAGTTTAGTGTGTGCAGCATGACTTAACTTAAATATATTGTGAGATGATTACCACAGTAAGTTTAATTAGTACCCATCATCTCTATAAATTTTTTTAAATGTTTTTTGGTTTCTTCCTTGTGATGAGAACTCCTTGGATTGATTTACTGTCTTAACAACCTACAGCAGTGTTCACTGTACATCATGCTGTCCATTACATCCTCAGTACTATTTTTCTTTTCTTTTTTTTTAAATCCTCACCCGAGGATATTTTCTCCACTTATCTCAGAGTGGGAGGGGGAGAGAGAGGGAGAGAGAGAGAGAGAGAGAGAGAGAGAGAAACATCAATGTGAGACAGACACATCGACTGGCTGTCTCCCACATGACCCTGGCCAGAACCAGGGACTGAACCGCAGCTGAGGTACATGCCCTTGGCTGGAATCGAACCTGTGACTTTTTGGTCCTCGGGCGTATGCTCTACTGCTGAGCCAAACCAGCTAGGGCAGTACTATTTATCTTATAACTGGTAGTTTGCACCTTTTGACCACCTTCATCCAATTCCCCTGCCTTCTACCTCCTGCCCCTGGTAACCACAAATCTGATCTATTTTTCTGTGAGGTTGAGTTTCTTTGTTTTTTCAATTCCATAGATAAGTGAGATTTAACAGTATGTGTCTATTTCTGTCTGACTTATTTCACTTAACATAATACCCTCAAGGTGCATCCATGTGGTCAAAAAAGGTAAGTTTTCTTTCTTTTATGGCTGAAAAATATTCCATTGCATATATGTACCACATTTTCTTTACCCATTCATCTGTGATGAACACTTGGGTTGTTTGTGTGCTTGGCTATTGTAAACAATGATGCAGTGAACATGGGGGTGCAGACATCTGATCAAGTTCCTCATCCACCGCCCTCTGCATCTTATCACCCTGGCCTGCCTTCAGCAAGAATCCTCCGAGTGGGGCTATCACGAATGTTGATGTTTCTTCTTAGTAATTTTCCATCCATTGACCCTACCTTGCTCCTTGGCTATAAATCGTCACCTGTCCTTGCTGTATTTGGAGAAGAGCCTTCTCTTCTACTGCAAAGCCTCCACTGCTGTGGTCCCTCTTGATACAGTCTTTCTTACCTTCTTTAACAAGTATCATGAGTAATATTTCTTTACAGGGTCTCCATAATGTTAACAGCCCAGCTCTACATTCTAGTGAATCAAAGACAGTCCACAGATCAACACCAGGAGGCCTTACCCCAGACCCTCTGAATCAGAATCTGTATTTTAACAAAAGCCCCAGGCAAACAGTGCTCTTTAAAGCCCAAGAAGCACTACTTTATAATATCTATCAAATTTTCACCTTCTCCAGAATAAAGGGCACCCCCATTAAGTGAATTTTCACCCTTTTTAAGGTGAAAATATAAACTGAAGATGACTGATAAAGACAGTTAGATATCTGCATTTTGTGGCATTGAGCCAAATTGGGGCGGTTCCCTTTCTCTGATGCCAGCCAGGGCAGCCAGGCGGGAGCACAATGACTTTGGCTGGGGTCCTCCAGCCCCCGAGCTTCCCCAGCAATTTTCAAGTGCAGTTTATTCCAGCTTACTCACCAAAAAGGCACACAGCTGCATTTTGTTCAGCTGCTGGAAATGAAGGAGCTGGACGCCAGCGCGGGGCTCAGGCTCCTTGAGCTACTACTGCTGACTGGGACCTGAGAGGCATCAAAGACGATACATGTTTTGCTTTGAGAAGCACTAACTGTAGCTCAGTTCTTGAGAAGAGTTTCTTAACACTAGTGAAAAACAGGAGTCCCAACACAGATCCTGGCGAGGGGATATGATTTTAGAGTCATAGAAGAAATGAGATAAACAATGAGGGATTTCAGGTGCAAAATCTGAAAGAAGTTATCCTGAGCAAGGCAGGTCTGTGTTAGTGGCAAAGGACCCTGTTGTTACACAGCTCATTTATTTGTGTGTTGACATAATACATGGGAGGTAGTCAGTACTACCTGGTTGAATGTTGATTGATTAATAGTGAGCACGAAGAAGATAAGAAAACTAGTTAATATCTCTGCAGAACAAGATCTTTGGAAATTATCTATAAGACTCTATCTGTACATATATAGACCCATATATGAAAGCTGATATTAAAAGTGTAAAAAAAACCCAGTTTAAAAACTGCAAACTCTTCAACTTGCACTCACTACAAACATTTTAAATATACATCTATTGAGATATAACTCACATGTGATAAAATATACCTGCTTAAAGTGTACAATTCAATGAGTTTTAGTAAATTTGAATCACCACAGATCTGAATCAGCATGATCTAATTTAGAATATTTCATTACCCATCAAAAGAAACCTGTACCCATCGTCAGTCACTCTCTATTACTTTCCAACATCCCTCCTCACTCTCCCCCAGGCGGCTACTAATTTATAATCTCTCTCTGTAGATCACCTACTCTGGATATTTTATATAAATGGAATAATACAACATCTTATATTATACAGGTACTGATTTAATTAACCACATTTGCAATGTCACAAACATTTCAAATGCAAACATTTCAAATTACTTACACAACGAGGCAATCAAGCCATCAGAATCAGCAATGTTTCCTATGAAAGACAAGTAGACAAAAGGGCCTTCCTAGAGAGAAGAAAATAAAACATGCTCTAATTTAGTATCACAACCCCAGGATGGCACCACCGATGTATGGCATTGCCTGGAAGCATCCCTCCCCCATCCCACCCAGTTGGTACCTTCAGAGCACCACACCTATAGACCCCACAGGGTGCTATCCTGGAGTGCAACCCCTGACTTTGGAGATGCATAAGTCCAAAGCTAATGTTTATATAATAAATGCTATTTTTCAATGATTGGCATTATAAAATCAGAGGAGTGTTCTTATGGGGGAAAATAAATTGAAAATTTTGCACAAGGAAAAAGTTTAAATTTATATTAAATAGGCTAAATTCTGGATCATTCTAGGAAATTTAGACCTTTGAGAAGTATCTCATAGCAGTTCATTTTGTCTCACCTCAAAAAAACACAAAAAACCCCAAAACACACACAAAAAGATTTCTCTTAATAAAAGTGTCACTCAAATATCTATAATAGACTTAAACTTGTTCTTTTTCCTGCCTAAGGGCAAACTTAGGAAAAATTTAAATGCTTAAAGGCTACATTTTAAATTTTGGGTAACAAAATATTTGCAATTACACTTAGCATTTCCCCGTCACTGAAGTATTTCTTAGCCTAATATTTCAAAAACCAATGAACTAGAATTCACTGGGATATCTGATTGACATGCTGCTCCCTGGAACAAATTCTGTTGCTGGGCAATACAAATCTTTTTCTCATTTCTTTTTACCAAAGCAATCGCTTATGTGAGATAAAATTATGTCTGCCTGTCCTTGCTCACTTCTAGTATCACTTCCCAGAGGCTAGCACTGATAACCTCTTCTGTCTGTAGTTCTGGGGATTATCTCCATACCTTATAATACACGTACACTGCTATTTCTTTAGATATTATCTATTAACTGCCCATCCTGAAAAATTATGATTTAATTTATACTGCTTCCCTTCCCAGTCCTTCCAGTTTTTGACAGTGTAGGAGAGAAAAATTTCCTTCTACTCTCTTAGGTTCTATAGCTGGCCTACGAATTAACTGACCTAAGACAGAATAACAGGAGAAAAGCATACACATTTTATTTAATCTTTTTACTTGCACATGGGAGTATTCAAAAGGAAAATGAGGACCTGAAGAAGTTGTTAGGCCCAAAAGCCAATATACTTTTTTTTACAAAAAGAACGATAAATTACAGGATGTGAGAAGACAAGGGGAAAGTAACTGAGAAATATATGAGGGAAAGTAATGAAAGATAAAGGTTATATGAGTAGGTCTGTTTGTATGGGTCCATTTTGGCATTGACTCCCAGTCGCTGGTGATTAGAATGTTCTTCCCTTCCTGGTACATGGAGGGCACCTTTGTCACGGGGAATTTTATGCCCTGATTTGAGGCAGAAAGGGGAGATCAGAGAGCCCTTCCTGCACCTGCTGTTTCTTAGGTGCCGTCAGCTCAAAATAATCACTATGCCAAAGTGGCATATTTTGGGGTGGCATGTTCTGAACCCCTTCAATAGCTGTATTATTCTCTTTAATTATTCTGTTAGTTATTCAAAGTTGTCACTTAAGTAATAAACTTAAAACCTCAGCTTACTCATCCATCCATGTTGGGCAGTATTTGGACTTCTTACCATCTGAGACAAGCCCTACAGTGCCCACAAAGCTTTCTCCCTCTCCTCCCTATTTCCAACTCATACTTTTGTCCATTCTGCTTGTACATTGTTGAGATTCATTATACTTTCATTCTTGCTCTGTAAACATAGTTGTCTTTTCTATTTTATCTACAAGTGGATTTAAAAGCCAAACGCCCATCCACAGCATTTACAACACAATGATGATGTAAATATCTTCCACCGCAAGGGACCAGAGCTGCTTTCTCCTGTGTCGCTTAAGGAGCAGGTGGCAAAAGGAATATTCTTTTTAACACTTATAACTTTCTCAAAATCATGCTACATTTTAGTTTGCTTTATTTTTGAGCCATGATTTTCTTATATTTTTGTGTATGCTACAGTTTGTAATAGCCTTTCTTTTTTACTCTGATTAAGAGAAGAAATGGGACTCTCTCCTCATCTCAATCTCTTCCAACTTCTTATCCCTTCTAATCTCTGCTGGACAGAGCTTTGAAGCTGGGTTATTTGGTCTTTTCTTGACACTCTGTAAATTACTTAATTGGCAAATGCGGTTTATGTTAGAGTATGTATAAAAATATATTATTTAAAGAAGATTTTTTTTTCATTTTTATTTGTTCAATCCTCACCTGAGGATATTTTTCCATTTATCTTCAGATAAAGTGGGAGGGAGGGAGGGAAAGACAGAAACATCGATGTGAGAGAGACACATCGACTGGTTGCCTCCCGCATAACCCCAACCAGGGCTGAAGACAAACCACAATGGAGGTAAGTGCTCTTGGCTGGAATTGAGCCTGGAACTCTTTGGTCCAAGGACCGATGCTCTAACTACTGAGACAAACCAGCCAGGGCTCTTTAAAGGAGATTTTAAAAATTATTTTATAAACAGTAATGTTATTTTTATTTAATAAATTTATTTTTAAAAAATCCTTGCTCTGACCGGTTTGGCTCAGTGGTTAGAGCGTTGGCCTGTTGACCAGAGGAAAAATATCCTCACCCAAGGATATGTTTACTGATTTTTTTTTTTTTTTTAGAGAGAGAGAGAGAGAGAGAGAGAGAGAGAGAGAGAGAGAGAGAGAACATTGACTGGCTGCCTCTCTAATGTGCTCTAATCAGGGGACCGAACTTGCAACCTGGGCACATGCTCTGACTGGAAATTGAACTCACAACCTTTTGGTGCTCAGGATGACACTCAACCAACTGAGCCAACTCTGGCCAGGGCTGTTTTAATTATTTTTAATATATTTTAAAAATTTTTCAATTACAGTTGATATACAATATTATGTTAGTTTTAGGTATGCAACATAGTGAACAAAAATTTATATAACTTACTAAGGGAACACCCCAATAAGTCTATTACCCATCTGACACCACACATAATTATTACAATACTACTGACTATATTCCCTATGCTGTACTTTACATCCCTGTGACTGTTTTTTTTTTTATCCTCACCCAAGGACATTTTTGCATTTATCTTCAGATAGAGCAGGAGGGAGAGAGGGAGGGAGAGAGAGAGAGAGAAACATAGATGTGAGAGAGATACATCGAGTGATTGCCACCCACATGACCCCAACCAGGGCCGGGGACAAACTGCAACTGAGGTACGTGCCCTTAGCAGGAACTGAACCCGGGACTTTGCGGTCCGCAGGCTGATGCTTTAACCACTGAGCCAAACTGGCCAGGACCCTGTGACTGTTTTTATAACTGGCGTTCTGCACATCTTAATCCCTGTCTCCTTTTCTTCCAACTCCCAACCCCCCCTCCCCAATCTGGCAATCATCAAAATGTTCTCTGTATCTATGAGTTTGTTTCTGTTTTATTTGTTCATTTATTTTGCTGTTTAGATTCCACATACAAATGAAATCATATATATGACATTTGTGTTTCCCTGTGTGATTTATTTCACTTAGCATAGTACCCTCTAGGTTCATCTATAAACAGCAATGTTCTTAAAAAAGTACTTCCAGTCCACTTTGCAACTCTTTATTTTCACCTTTTTTTTTTTTTTGGTACATGCCCCCAGCAGGAAATGAACCCGGGACTCTCTGGTCGGCAGGCCGATGCTCCAACTGCTGAGCCAAACCAGCCAAGGCAACACCAATTACTTTTATTTTTACTTTTAGCAGAGTCATATTAGGAAATTCACACCATTGCCTGGCTTGGCCTGGGAACTTTCCAGACAAAACACATTCACTGGACTGGCCAGTACGGGCAGAGACTGGGCTGAATTTGACCCTCTCTAGGCCTCACAGTCCTTCTGTCTATACAATGAAGGACTTCCTAAATTAGATTGTGGATCTTATCTGGAAACTAAACGTGACTTCCACTAATGAACTCTTCAACTGGAACCGCTAGCAAAATATGGACACTGACATTAGGTCCAGGACTTTCATCAGAAGCAACTCTGTGTGTAAGAGCAAGATGGGGACCTGACAATTGGTAATATGCAGGGACCTATGAGTGCATAAAAAAATCGTTCTCTTTTGTACCTACCCATAGAGGTTCTACTCCTTTTAAAAACTCCGCTCAAGCCCTCCCTCTTCCAAGAAACCCTCTCAGACCTCCTAGTGAGGATTTTCTAACTCTCCTTTGTTACTAAATTTGTGTTTCTATAATTAACAGTCTATTGGTTATGGGTCTCCAGTCCCTATTAGGTCATATACCCTTAGGGCCTGGGATGTCTTCGAACCCTCAGGAGCCCAGGATGATAGTTTGTGTGCAGTGTTTACTAACCTTGAATTAATGACAAGTTCACACAATGAATTACTTAGGAAGATGCCCTGGGCATCTGATTCTTCATAGGGTTACTACCCTTGTGTTTTATATGAAAAGAGAGCCCATCAGACACACAGACTCCTGGCTTTCCTTCATAAGGAAGGCCATGCACCATTAGCATTAGCAACTATTTGATTGTTCCATCAAGACAACTCTGAGGGCTTTTAACCTTTCCTTGCACCATCAAGTCCTGATATGTGCCACCACGCCACCATGGGAAGAGCATTCAGATCAAAGTCAGCAAAAAAGACACAGAAATGGTGAGTGTATCAACATCAGGGTTCCAAGGAACCAAGGTTCCATCTCAGGAAGGTTCTGTGATTCTGAGATTGACCTGATCTTACCCTAAAGGAACTCACCATAAGAAACATAAATTGACAAACACAGGTCCATCCTAGGCTGTACTACCTGAGGTCAAAGCTGTGCCAGTAACAGACTTGATGCAAAACTAAGCAAATTGGGTACAGGAGGCAGAGGACCCAGCTTCAGAATGAGAACAGCTATTATGGGCCTAAAGATTCTTTAGGGGCTTCTGAAGCAAATCTGTTCTAATCAAACAAAAGCCTTAGATCAAAGGCACTGAAAACATTAGTTACTATTTGCTAAGGGCCAAAA